TGAGAGTTTGAATCCATAGATTTCTTAGGTTTAATCAGTTTAGGATTTTTTTTCATTTTTGAGAGTTTGATCTGAAGATGTACCCGACGGGTAGCTAGTACTAGGTGTTGAAAATGAGGATTTATTTACATTTTAGTTATCAGGTTGTTCAATTAAATCTAGTTGATCGGACATATCTTTTAGAATTTTGTAATTGATCGAAAAATCCATTGTTTTGCGAAGAAAATTTTTGACACACTGAAATTTTGGATTGTGTGAATAGGGCTTGCAGAGTTCGCAGCCTTCTCAATTCGTTTCTCATGTTCTATTTCTTGACTTGTCATAATATTAACCGATTGGCCAATCACTTTGCAGTATTTGAAGTCATGAGATGCAATTTGTTGAGAAAATTTGATCCTTAATTGCTAATGAGTACATCTAGGCATCATAATTTCAAAGTCTAAAAGGAGGTTTATTTGGTTAACAGAAGCGATAACGAATTTTTCGTCGTCCTATGAAACTGGTACGTGGTCGCACGATGGGTGTCTAGAAAGAAAGTCCACAAGTCTCATTTCTTTACCCGGAGGATCTTCAACCATAAAATCGTATGATAGCAGTTTATCTGCCCAACGAGTGAGGCGTGATAGAGCTGTCTTTGTATATCTGTCATCTTTAAGTGCTACTATTAAGGCTTTATGATCGGCAAGAACAGGAAAATGTTTACCTAACAAGTAGTTTTTAAAATGGTCTAACGCCCAAACTAAGGCCCTCAGTTTGTTCGTGCTGTATTTTAGTTCAGCTATACTAAAGAATCTATTCGCGAACGCTACGATCTTCCAATTTCCCCCATGGTCTTGCTCGGGAGTGCGCCCAGTTCTAAATGTGAAGCATCATTTTTTATTCTTGTGTTGAGTTTAATTTGTTACCGTGGTACATCGTGGTTCTTTCAAATTTCTAATGGCATCTGATTTATGAGTAAGGGAGTTCTCCCCTTCGCGTCGAGTTAAAACCCCAGCCGCTCTATTTTAATCGTCAAAAAATTTACACTTCTCGCATTTTATGGCTAATCCTTTGTCTTCCAAGGTTTTTAAAACATTACTGATAAATTTACAATGGTCTTCAACGCTACTTACAGTAGCGGTTAAAATGTCATCTAGATAACTAGTGTATGTTGGATAAATTTTCCATCAGACGGTCCATAATACGTGGAAATTGATTCAACATATCGCCTAATCCGTAAATTCCTGTTTTAAAGCGGTATGAACCTGTGACGTCTCCTCACACGATGTTAAAATTGCATTGGTTGCTTGCTTTGTTAGATAATGGTATCTGGCTGTATGCATATTTTAAGTCGATAGATGAATACCAGATTTTGTTTTCGTCGTGAACACTAATTGTGAGAGCGACATTGTCGATTAATTCAAACAGGTTTGCATTTGGTATCTGTTACGGAACATTTGTTTAGTAAGCACTTTTGAAGTTGAAGCCCGTTTGATTGACCCGGCCCTTTTCGCTTTACTGACGATAGAGGAAATAAAGCAGTCTTGAGAATATCTGGACAATTTTTCGATGTGTCCATCACTAAGTAACTTATCAATGCATAATTTCACCGTTCAAGTGGTTTGTTGAGATGTTGGCAAGGTTGGCTATCTGTTTCAAATTTTTCTGGTTGACTTCTATACCGACGGGTGTTTTAGTCGGGGTCTTCCGTGTGTCTATGATTTTCGATTGGGCCTGCTTCTATAGGTCCTTATTTCCTAAATTCGGTAATATATAGTTTCTCAGAAGATTTCTTTCTGCCCCTTCAGTGATAAACAGTTGTTGATCCTTAGCGTCCCATCCTTTTGATTTTATTCTCACTATGACTTTTTCATTGATCATTATCGTACTCCCGAAGCCTAGTACGCTTTTTTCGTAAACTTGTCGACTGCTTCTATCCTTACGAATCCCTCTTCTATCCTTACGAAGTAATCTTTTTCCAAGGTTTTTGTGTGAAAAGCATTTCCGATAGCTTAGTACAGTTGTGACTTTAACTTCTTATCGATATCGATATCACCGTTGTGTAGTTCATTAAACTTCGCGTTGTCTTCTGCTTTCCTCCTTCTCACTTTTTCGTTGTAAACTTGTAGTGCTTGTTTGTATCGTTCTTCTTTTTCGGTCTGGCGGGTCTGATCGTCGGAAAATTCCGCTGTTTCTGGGACGAGGTATATTAGATCGGATCTCGCCGGTGAGTCAATCACATCTTCGATATCTACCGAATCTTTAGCGATGATTTTCAGTTGGAACTTTTCCGCCCATTTTCCCAGTCATGTTGGTTCTCGCTTAATGCGTTGTTCCAGAAAAACTATTGGCTTCGTAGATTCGACTCGTTTGACTGCGCCATGTTAAAAAGTTGAGATGAAATAGGTAACTGTGTGAATAACAGTGAGGCGAGATGTGATTAACAGAATTAGTTGCAATAAAAACGTTCAATGACTCAAACTCAGTTGTGCCAAAAGTCTATGTGCTTTTGGCAGGTATTAGACTAAACTACTATTAAGCGTTAAGCGACGTAAAGGTTGTAAAGTCACTAATATAAAATATCTCTTTTAACAGCTAAACATACGGAATTTTTTCATGAATCAAAGCCACTTCATCTATGTCTGAACCAGTGTTCAGCGCTTCTCTTTCGTAAGATGAATTATCAGAGCTCTTTCACATCTACAACCTTAAGAGAATGAGTTCAAAAAAATCTGATTGAATACCTTGTCCTTGAAAAGAGGTTTGATGTATTAAATTTGAATATTTATTTGTCATTCTGATAACGAGTTTTTGCCTCAACTTCATAACTTCATCTTTTTTCAAAAAATTTTCGATAGTTCTTTTGTATGCACATGAATGATTTTTTTTTCGTATCAAGTCGTTTGCAAGAATCGTATGTTTTTCGTCTATCAATAGGTTTCACGCTCCCGTATGAGATTCTGCTATCTGTTTATTTCATGGATATGGTTACTCGATACCGGTAAAACTTCAATACAAATTTGAGGTAAACTCTAAAAAATATCAGTTTTCAAAACAGTAGTTTAATTTTAACAAATGGAAACGAATCAATTTTGGGACATCTTGTACTTCAAAACTGATAATTTTATGAAGAAAAAATTCAAAATTCAAGCTGCTCAGTTTTTTATATGCGTCAGAACTACATGTGCAAATTTTGAGTGTTTTTTTTCTTTCTAATTTTCTCAAATCTTATTTAAACGTTTTTATAGAACTTCAAGAAAGCAGAAAGTGTCTCGTTTTTTTGTTGAACAAACCAGGAAATCATTGCTTCTGTTTTGTTTCAGGTTCTTGCATTTGAGGCAGGAAAAAAAACTATAGCAGCAGTTAAAATTTAATAGGGGTAATGTGGTTATGAATCTTTATAAGCTATAAGTTTTGAAGCTTAATAAGCTTAGCTGCTATGAATTTTGAAGTGAACCAAAGTAAGTTACAGGGTCAAAAAAATTGTTGTAATTGTACCCGACCAATGTATTCGCATATGTTACTTAGTTATCATAGTATTTTAAAAATCTAATTTAAAAGATCCTTAATCAGAAGTGCATCGGAACAGGCGCGCGCATGTGGCTGGGTGGTGGGAAGTATGGGGGCTCAGCTGGTTAAATGGAGGACAGAGGACAGTAAAAAAGCGGCCCATTAAAACTAAACAAAAAAATTTTCCTAAGAAAACAGTCTATGAACACTAGTAGCTCAAAATTTTACCAAAAATCAAAACTTTCAAACCGGTTTTTCTCGACACTGGGATTATCTTGTTTAATCAAGACTAAACCGGCTTTCATATGAAATATCACTCAACAAAATCCGATGATTTTTCAAATGATCGTAAAAACAAAAACATGCCGTTTCGGCTATTTAAAAGGTAACTTTGTCCGGTCCTGTTTTATATCTATCTTATATCAGTTCAAAACATAATAAAAGGCTGCAAATGCTCATGCAATGTGAAAATTTAAAATTAACATTTTAGTTTTTTCGCAAGCAAACATCGTTTAAAAAAAATTAAAACAAACATTTGCCGTTGTTTAGAACTAATAATTATTTTTAGAAATTTGTTTTGTTTTGTCAGATACTCCTAAGGTGCAAGCCATTCGAAAAAAGCATAAAAACAGGTATTCTGTAACGTATGGGATTTTCAAAAACTTTAAGTTATATCAATGGAAAACCCGCCCACACCCCCAGTGTGCCTGCATGTTCCTAGTCTCTTTTTACCATTACTCACTATCTACAGTCTTCGAAAAACTACGACGAGGAATATTTGACGCAAATTTTTTGACCGTTTCTTGAAGCGTCTTGACTTTTCACGAAAACTACCCTCCCAAAACTGCGGTTTTGGTTTAAATGGAAAACGGGTTGCAAAGCTTCCTGCATAAACGGGAATGCCAAAAATATTAGGGTCCTCGGAAAAGTCACATGAAAGATTGTTGTTAAAACCGTTAAGAAGTTTCAAAAAAGTGCCTTTCCAAATCTGGAGACTTTAGATAAATCAAACAAAAAAAGTTGAGAGATGCTCCTCGGAATAAGTGACACCGTCCAAATTTAAATCAAAAAAAGTTCTCAAAAAATCCATGTTTTAGTTTCTTGTCCGTTTTTGAAATTTTTTAGCTCTTCTCGAAAACTACCTGGCCGAATCTGATAACAATGTTTTCATCGAGGCAACATGTTGTAGGAAGCCTCTGTTAATAATTTCATGATGTTATGTCACTAAGGCAACAACAAAATCGAATCAAACAGTCTTAGGTATTTTTTCTTATTTTCTTCGAATTTTCCTTTCCTAAAAGTTAAAAATTGGGCTCTTTTTCCTTTTGCCCCACCTCACATAAGCATAAACTTTCTGGCATAATGAGGGTTTTGTAATTACTTATCCCTGAGATGGCGGAATTGCTGCATATGAAAAAAAAGTACTTGGTATTTGTGAATTCACTGTCAAACCTAACAAGCTTAAAATTGATTGCATAAACAAATACAGTACAAATTCAAAGATACTCAGTGTACACTAATCAAAAATCTTCATGATTGTTCAATGCAATTAATATATTCCCCAATTGCGCCTGTATTTCAAATTGCGCCCCAATTGTGCCTGCCTTTTCGGTTTTTAATCCTTTCCGCCCACTCTTTCCTTCGGGATCAAATTGTCGTATGACTTTCCTTGTTCGGCTAGTTTTTCCATCTCAATCAGGAGGTTTACTCCATCAACCACGAACTGCACAAGTTCCACCTCGGAGAATCCGAGTCGGTCGGCGTTGGAGACGTCGTAGACTCCATCGTCGGCAGCAGTGTCCACTCCTCCAGTTCCTCGTTTCTGCAGACGCAGAAGCTCCATGATTTTGTCCAATTTCTTCTCGTCCTGTAAATAACATTCGTATACTTTCAGTTGCAGATAAAGTTATAATTACTAGTTAAATTTGCAAAATTAAAAACGAAAACGCCAAAACCAAAAAATAATCAAAATTTAAATCATTTTTTTCATATATCTTTCAATTTAGCGGCAGAAGGTTCGAAGGTGTTAAGCTCTTAGCTCGAGTTCAGCCTTTAAAGAAGAGCCGAAATTTTGAGCCATTAAGAAAACAGACGAGCAGATTACTAACTTTGCCTATATTGGGTAGCTTGACGTGCACTCCTCCCCTCAACCCAGTGCCCAAATTACTCGGACAAGTCAGGATATATCCCAAGTGGTCATTGTGCATAAACTCCTCCCCCGATCGTTTGATGGCCCCCTCGAACTTCTGCAGACCCTCGCAGAACCGTTTGAACACAGAGCCCATGTCTCCCCCCTCTTGCATAGAGATGACCCTGAGATGGTCTTCTTCGTTCACCCACACCAAGAAGTCTCGCTTTTCGTTGTACCAGATTCCTAAACAAATGAACACCCATAAAACTGAGACATCCGAAAAAGTATTCAGGATCAAAGTCAGAAAGATTGACCACTTCACCAATGACACGATGCAATTAACTTTTGTTTTGAGGGCCAAAAGCAATGCTCCTGCGCCTTGAGGGCCGCTCGAGTTAATTAGGTTGGTAAGGTTTCGATTCCTATAGTTTAGCGCAGATTTGTTTTTGATACACACTCAACTGACATCTTTTAATGAAATACTCTTGCAACAAAAGTAGTAATCAACAAAACAACAGAGCATATCGGACTATTATGTTTTTCATAAGTTAACTTAATCAACCCAAGGATGAGCAATTCGAGGATGATATGAAGTCATCAGCAAAGAGTTTGATTATTTTCCCAACAAGGATACTTCGAAGTCGGTAGGCTGAGGATGAAATAAAAGTTTCAACTAAGCCAGGATACTTATCAAATTGAACTCTCAACAGATCTTGTGTGTATATTATCCGATTTTTTAAAGTGTTTTTTTTAAGACTGGACAAAGTTTCTTAAATGCATGAGATCTGACCCTTTTGATGGCATGCCAAACTACCTAGTTTTTGAGTGTTCGCCCTCAATTGTTATTTTCAAATCAGGATTAAAAATTTGCACATGTAAGTTGCACAAGTTTGGATTGAACTTAAACATTAAACGTGGGTAAAAAAAACAAAATCGGCAAATTTTTAAACACTTTTATCATGTCAACATCGGTAGAAGGAAGGAATCGTTTAGGATCTTCGAGACTAAATGAAAACAGTAACCTTAATGCAAAAAGTGATTAATTGTTGCCCAGTTTTAGAGTACACATATATTAATAATCGTAATGACGCAAATGAAACGCTGAATTAAATGGTCGTAGAGCACAATCTGGGCTCTTCATTTAGAAGCGCAATTTTTTTAGCCCTGTGTTGATGAAATTAAAAAAGCAATGAAATCTGCCACTTATGTTCCAAAAAAAATTGATAGAAAAAAATCTTTGATGAAGACAATTTAGATGATGGATGTGTTGGCAATTCTGCTGAAGTTGAAATTTCAAACTTTTTCTTTGGGAAAATTTTGCGGACCTTTTTATGAAAACTATGTTTAAACATTGTGAGTTAGGTCCTTTGTGGTTAACTCATAGAGTAATTTCGGATAGGGTACACCGTCTGCTCGTCACGCTATCTTATTTTCGGCCGGATAGATTCGTGCAACTTCTTAGTCTAATACCGATCCTAATCTTACTCTTATACTTTCTAGTCTCAGGGTGTTTAACTAGTCTCTGCTAGGCTCAATAGATCTAGGGTATACTGGTTTGTTGCGGCTGCTGAAGTTCTCTTGGAGAGACAACTAATTTCTAAGTTAAATTCAAATCTCTCTGGTGCTGAAATTACAAGTAATTTCAGCACTTACAAATAAGTGGGTTGTTAGTTAGATGGATCATGACTGGTTAATATTAAATACTTTACAGTGGTATAATATCTAATTTATCCAATCATAAAATATAGTTTAGATCAGGTTCCACCCATCCGGGTTTTACAGAGTTTTTTAGAATTATCTTTCTGCAATTCAAAAGGTGGATGATGAACGTTGGTATTTGGCGAACATCGTATTCTTGTCCGGTTCCTCTTGTTAGAAAAGTTCCAGGTCGCTGGAGTTAGGGGCATCAATTGGGGGGCTTTAAAACGAGTTCTCATTTGAGTGGATCTTGTTTTACTGGGTTGTGTTATTCAGCTTCATTACAGAAGCAAGTTATTCTTACTGGGTTTTCAGACACTAACTGGAGAAATGATATCAATGATAGAATTTCCACTTCCGGTTTCGTTTTCTTTATTGGGAATTGTTGAGTTAGCTGGAAATTGCATAAACAGCGATGTGTTGCACGTTCAATAACTGAAGCTGAGTATGTTGCGCTCAAGGAATGTGTTCAAGAAGCTATTTGACTTAGATGGTTACTCAGTGAGCTGGGTTTTCAGCAAACTGAGCCAACCAAAATTTATGAAGACAATCGTGGTGCAATCGGGTCAGCGAAAAATCCAAAGTTTCAAAATCGTACCAAACATATCGAGATATTGCTCATCGTTTTACTTTGAGAAAGCGTTATCTGGAGAAATTACTAACAAATATTGTAGATCTCATGAGATGCTGGCAGACTGTATGACCAAGCCTCTCCCGAAGACTGTGTTTACCAATTTCTTAGAAAAACTGAATATATCCTGATGAATGAATGTAATCAACATGGAGGAAAGTAATCAAAATTTAACTGAACTGTTGATTTCTTGTTAATCATAATTGTTTTTGGTTTCAGAGTAATACCGTGTAGCCATTGATTGAATTGAGATCATGACGAACTCGTTTTTATAACAAGACTTAGCAAATCTTGGTGAAAACTGTCGGTCTTTAAACTGATATTTGGGAAAAATTTGGTTTTATTTATTTTGTCTTGCTGCAGGAACCCTTATATCTCAACAAATTAAACAATTTTGCGGTGTAAGATTGATACAAGTCTCCAATTAGAGATTTTGCTAAAAAAAACCTTTAGGTAGCTAGCTGAAGTCATAACGCACAAAATTACGAAGAATAACGAAAAAATATCAAGAATACATGAAAACACAGAATGAAAAATGTGCCAAACAAAATTTCATATCTGAAAAATATCTGAAAATTGATCTGATTTTAGCTTAGCCATCCGTAAGTAAATGAAGCATTATACACTAACATTTCACATTCCATTTCACATTTGAAGTGTAGAGCTGAAAAAATTTATTTCAGACCTGAATTATATCATTTACTAGGTACAGGATAATTGCTCCATATGGGAAAAATCGTACACTGTGTCAAGGGATTGCAGCGACAACCTTAGAAGAAAAAAATTTCTGAAAATTTCAAATCGAAAATGAAAACCTGGATTTCGAGTCCCAAATTGACGCTATCTGAGCCGGCAAAATAGAATTTGTAAAGGCTAGTTGACTATTTGGTTGACAGCTGACTACACAACTAGAGAAAGATTCTTTCTCGGCAGTTTTTTTTGCTGAAGTTAAAACTTCTAATATTGCTCAAATTCATTAAAATCTTTCGAGATTTGAAAAATTGGATTCAATTAGACCTATATTTTGATTGTGATGGACCTAGATTTTGACCAAAATTGGGTATGTTTGACCTAAATATCGGCTTCTTGAACAAAGAGGGCTATGACTTGACAGTGCTCGATCAATGTTTTGACTTTCTCAAGTATCGAATAACAAGAAGAAAGTTACTGACAAATAAATATAATGTATGCTTTTCAGTTGATTTTTTTGAAATTACTCGTAAACAATTTATTGAATAAGACTCAATAACATGCAAAAACCCTTGATTCAAAAACTGACTATAAGAAATTTTTTTCCATTTTCTTTTTTTCTTAGCAAATCTGGACAGAAACTTTTGATTTATAAACTGGTATTGAGACAAAATTTGGTTATAATTCATTTTTTTTGCTGCAGGAACCTTTATATGTCAAACAACTAAACAGTTTCTTCTGAAATTTTTACATTTTAGGCAGGCAAGTCTTCTCAAAAGATAATTTCGGATTGGAACTGTCTAACCGAGGTCTTTTCTGAGCAGACTTCTTGTTCAATTTCTAACACAAAATTAAATAAAAATTGTTCCAAAAAATGAGGTTGTGATTGATCTATGTTTTGACTGAGCTCAACATATGTTTCAACTTACAAGACCAAAATCAGGTATGATTCGAATTTCCCTGTTTAAAATTTATGTTTCCTATGCAATTCTGAAAGTAATCTCATGTTTTGGGACACAAGTTTGAGCAGTCTCAGACTAGAGATTCAGCTAAGTACCCGTTAGGATCAGATAAACTCATAAAGTACAAAAGTACCTAGAAGAGCAAAAAATAACAAGATAATTTGATTTTTTTTACATCAGAAAAAAACATGTGATAAAAAAATCCAGATCTGAAATTAAAATCTGAAATAAATTTTCTCAGATCTAATATAACCATGAAAAAAATAAATGTTACAAAATTGATCTGAATTAAAACATTTTCGAACTTTTCAAGCAGGGGCGGATTTAGGGGGGGGGGGGTGGGGGATGCGGACGCTTCCCCTCCCTTCAGGGATTCGACAACCTGCCGACCCAAAGGGTCCCCCTTTGGTATTTTTTAATAAATCCACCGACCGACCCTAAAATTTTTCTAAAGGCGCCTTAGGCGCCAATATTTACTAATTTCGAGGGGGGTGGCGCCGAAAAAACGCAATTTTTTGGTCAAAATTTTCCAAAAAGTGCCTAAAAACGCCTTTTTTGACTAAGTTTTTTTTCTAAAATTTGCCTGCGGCGCAGAAAGTTTTGCCAAAGTAGGGGTCGTCAAAATGTCGTCAAAAAAGGTCGTCAAAATGTTCGATTTCTTTTTGAAAATCCGCCCCCCCCCCCCCCCCCTCGAGAAAATCCTAGATCCGCCCCTGTTTTCAAGCATTATACTAACATTTCACATTCCAATTCCCATTTGCAGTGTAGATTTGAAAAATTTTGTTTCAGATCTGAATTATAACATTCATTAGGTACAGGATAATTGCTTCATATGTGAAGAATCCTACACAGTGTCATTGGATTGCAGCAAAGACCTTAGAAGAACGAAAGAACGAACTAAATTTTTGATCAAAATTGAAAACCTGGATTTCAAGTCCTAAATTGACGCTCTCCTAGCCGGCAAAGTAGAATTTTTTAAAAGACTATTTGGCTATTCGACAGCTGACGACACAAATAATTGCGTTGTGTGATCAGCTGTAGCACTGTACACAGAATAGGCAGAAATGAAATTCTGTTTTTCATTTAAAACAGAAACACTCACGCGAGGATGCCAATTTTTTAAACATGGATGCCATTTTGACAAAATCAATACACTCAAGAAGTGAATAATCACGGTGTTCCTGTTCATACTTTGTGTTCTGGCTCTCTGCCCCCCCCCTCCCCCAAACTCGCGCATCAAAGCTGTAGTGTATTGAGTGTATGTACACAAGTCGAGGTATGACACGAGATGTTAGGTCACTTTTTGGTACGACCGTCTTGGACAAAATTTGGTTTGTTTTGTTCGGGCTCGACCAAAGCAAGAAGTTTTTCGACCGTGCTCGACTTTCAAACATGAGTGATCAAATTTTAACGTCTTAATTTTTGATTTTCTGGTTACATCTTTTGATGTTTATTGTGAGAATGAAATGATTAGAGCATCGATGTTTTTTTTTCGACCGTGATCGAGGTATATTTCGACAGTGCTCGAGACATGTTTTGCATTTGTGCTCGACCCTGTCTCGACCATTCTTGTTCGGTCTATCACTTTGAAAATTGAAACATAAATTGAGCACCTCAATCTGGGTACTAGCTTAAGTATGAAGACTCACAATTTTTATCATTGCCTATTTAGTCTACATGCCAATATTTGTTTCAATTGGACAGTTTGAAGATAAAAATTAATTGTAAAGCTTGATGGGTAAGAAAAAGGAAAAAAGCTTGAGTTTTTTCCAATAATTTATTTCAAACACTCCGAATATGGGGGGTTTAATTTGTTGGGCGAAACAAAAAGCAATTGTTGGAAGAAGTGCTGATTCTATGCTCGGTTTGGCTCTTTCCTTTTCCCCCACCTTACATGAGCTTCGGTTTTATAGTTTAACGATTGGTTTCACGAATTTAATTATGAGGATCAGATTTGTTTGTCATGGCCTAATTAGTCTGCATGTCAATTTGACATTGAGAACAGAAACTTGATTTATTAAAATTTGCAGGTGGGGGAAGGAAAAAGAACCCTAGGCTTTTTCTTCCCCTCCCCCACCTTAACGACATTTTTATGGTTTAACGAGACGTCATGCAAGGTAAAGTACGAAGACCAAAAATGTTTGCTATGGCCTATTGGATCTTTCCTCCCCTCCCCCACCTCACAGGAGCATCAATTTTTTGGTGTAACGAGTGATGATTTTACAAGGTAGATTATATTTAAGACGTTTGTCATGGCCGTAGTCTGCATGTCTAACTTCATTGGGCGATGTCAACAAAAACAGCATTCCAAGCGCATAAATTTCCAAGTTGTCTTAAATAAGACGCTAATTCATTCATTCAGTCAATGTGAAAAAAACCTTCTTTTAAAAATTTGCCGGTGGGGCAAAAGGAACCATCTTTAACTAACTCTCTAACGCTTATAATAATGAAAAATTTTGTAAAAACCGTAAGCACATCGGTCGTTTGACGTTAATGACTTTGGTTCAATTTTTAAAGTCAGGACGTAAGTCGCGGACCACGTCTCGCCTGTTCAAGCCCCAAAAAATCACAACAAGTAAGTACCTCTTGCATCTGGCCAGTCGCGTGCCATTCTGGAGGAGTTGAGGAGGGGGGACACTGGCTTGTCGAACAGGAGATGTTCTTCGATCAGCTTTTCTTGCTCTTTTTCACTCATCTCACTCAGGGGGTAGTACTGACCCTTGTACTCACCATCCAGGGTAGCCAGCGCATCCGTCGATATCTTCTCCACCTGTTAATTAAATGCAATTCATATTCCATAGCATTCATATTCGATTTTTTGACTTGTATAAACAAAAGTTGATAAACTGACTTGTTTTTTTTTAAAATCTTCAACTTTTGAATTTCAAAAAAAAATAGATGGCCTTAAGTGTATTTTGAATTTGTAGAACCAATTTTGCTGGATACTTTTCAAATTAACCCAATTTGAGAAAGCTGGATTAGTAGGTAATACTGGCTCTTTTCCAGTTCCCCCCTTTCAAATTCAATTTTGAAAAGCTTATTTAACGTTGCCATAATGCAATGAAATTTGGCGTGTTGAACAAATCGACAATGATGAACAGATTTGTTCTTCATACTTTACAGCATAAAATCACGCATTTAGCCGTAATAACACGTAAAACAAACATAAAACTCGGTATTTTGAAAGGGGGGAAACAGGAAAACAGCCGTAATACTTTCTTCGCTGGAAAATCTAATAATTAAATTCCAATTTCGAAATTAGAAGTCCATCACGTTTTTTGTGCCTTTTACAATTTTGTTGTTCAATAGTGGAGTTTGCCCTCCTTTTATCAAAAAAATGCTCTGAAGTTAGAAAGAAAGCACAAGTCAAACCGCGAAAATCAAAATTGAGCGTGAACACATTTTCCTAAAAAAAAAAAGATCAGCAAAACCTATATGCGCGTACTCACTACGTTCATTAATCTTAGCAATATACTGGAGAAAGAAAGTAACGCAACGAAACATTTTTATATTCAAGTTGAAATTTTTCTAAGTGAGTTTTCCGAACGCAGTGAAATAGTTTCACAAGACGCATGAAATTGTGACACTTTCACATAAATATTACATTGAGAAATGCAAAAATGCCACAAATTTCCATTTCAAATTGCAAACAAACAATTGGTTGCTACGTTGTGGCCTTTCAATTAGAGAAATTTCTAAGTTTTTTTGATGTTCTGCCTCTACTATTTCAAGACTTTCACGGAGATACCTAGCTCCCTGACAAGTTGAGGACTCAAGGCGATCAGGAAGACCAAATGCATTGAAGCATTGAACGTCAGATCAGCTCGGAGAGTTATTAGACAACACAATACCGCTCCTTCTCTGAATGCTGCTACAACGGCTCGGCAATTTGGAGTTACAGCTCCCAAAAGTTTTGCTTCCGGTGGGTCTTTGATGTAGATGACCGTTTCCGGGCCCAATTATTTTGGAGAGACATCGTCAAAGGCGTCTTGCTTGGGCTCTGTCATGTGATATCGTGATTGGAAAAAAGAACTTTCAGCGACGAGTGTCTCTTCTCACTGAACTTAAGACAGGCGTTGTCTAATTTACAGATGGAAAAACTGCCGAATTTTGATTCAAAACATTCGACAATTCGATAGAACAGCTAGTGAAAGTTTAATGATATGGTGTGGAAATTAAGCAAGCTACCGGGATCAGCTTATCGCATTTCACCAAGATAATGCCAAAAACCACTCAGCCCCTCTTATTTACAATGCAACTTCTAGCGACAAATGCTGTTCCAGTGTTTCCCTGGCCGTCTTCTAGCCCTGATCTAAATCCAATCGAGTATGCGTGGGATGTCATAAAACGAAAACTCATAATTTGGGTTTCTTTGGTTCAAAAAATTATTGCGGCATGGAGCACTTTCAACCCCGAAGTGATGACAAACATAATAAAATCTATGCGGCGAAGAATGATTTTATGCATCGCAAATAGGGGAGGCCATACTCTTCATACTTTACAGCGTAACATCACGCATTTAGCCGTAATAACACGTAAAACAAACATAAAACTCGGTATTTTGAAAGGAGGAACTGGAAAAGAGCCAAAAAGAGCGGTGAACGCATGCAAAATGAAAATAAACCGACTTGTTTTCTTGAAAATCTTCAACTTTTGAATTTCAAAGAAAAAAATAGGTGGCCTTAAATGTATTTTGAATCTGTAGAACAATTTTTGCTAGACTTTTTTAAATTAAAATTAACCCAAGTTGAGAAAGCTGAATTATAAATAAAATCTATGTGGCCAAGAATGATTTTATGCATCGCAAATAGGGGAGGCCATACTGGCTTTTAATTGGTGATTTTTCTTTTTAATTCTCAATTTGATAAACTTTTAAACACTTTAGTTGCTTTATTTTTTTTCTCCAGTATATGACCACATCTAAAAATGACAAATGGGTAACTTTTTTAGTTAAACAATGTTCAATTAACAGATTTGTTCTTCATTTCATCGTAACATCAAGCATTGGCTCTTTTTAGTCCCCCCTCCCCCGCCTCACATAAAAATCAATTTTTGGTGTAGCGTGTTGTTTTGCAAGGTTAAGAATGAAGAACGATTTTTTTTCGTGGCCTTACTAGTCTGCATGCCAATAATTTTGTCACAATCGAACATTGTGAACAGAAAATTAGCTTGAAAAAATTCGCAGGTGGGGGAAAAGAAAAACAGCCCATGAATTTAGCCAAGAAAAAGCGTAGAACAAACTTGAAATTAGAAGTTCGAATTGTAGGGAAATGGTGCGGAAAAGAGCCAATTGAGGCCTTGGCTTCTTCAAAGTTTTTTTCCAGTCACTTATTCCGGACAAGCTCAGAATAAAAAGCATTGGCGCTGGCATAGAAGGGTGGTACGTATCATTCTACGACACCTCTTTTTTCATAATCAAAACTGCAATTTGCCACAATTATAAATACTTAAAGCTTGTATTTGACCTTGCGTCTCTCGGCTCTGGTGCAGTGTGGTGGCAGACAGATTCCACGGATGGAGCGACCAGTCCGCACTCGGCTGGACTGCACGTACTTCTCGTCAAACTTCGCCTCTTGCAACTGAAACGAACTTCGCCTCTTGCAACTTTTTATTACCCACACCTGAGAGTTTCACTTTTGAGAAACTACTTCATGATTGTCATAATGCAATGAAATTTGACACGGTGAACAAACTAACTATTTTGAATAGATTTGTTCTTCATAGCTTAAATTGTAACATTCGGCGTTTAGCCATGATAACACGTAAAACAACTATAAAAATGAAAAGTTTGAAAGGTGGTGGGGGTTGAAAAACGCCAGCTGCTCGCACACACCTTGGAGAAGTCCAAGTCTGTCTTGTGTTTGTCTCCTGGTTTGAAGCCCCCATGTCTTTCGTCAATGATGGGGTCGAAAAGCTCCGCAAACACCTCATAGCTCTCCTCGTCTCCCGCCACACAGCCCACAGTCATGATGTGCTCATGGCCAGGGTTGTCCACACCTGATGCAAGGCAAAAATAATTAAGCACTAGTCCTGCACTATATAGCTCAGCCCATTACGAAAACATGGCTTAAATCTTTTTTGAAAAGCATATTCAAAATGGTTTTTGAAACTGGAAAAGAGAATTTCAGCATGGTATTTTAGTCGCCTTAACGCCAAGCTTTTTCCAAACTTTTTAAACCATTGGTGCGAAAATTTTGGCCTTATGTTAATGGTCTTATTAACGTTAAACTGTAAATGAACGTGTGTCTGACCCCGTTATTAAAAAGTAGCCATAGAAGAGTCTGAAAATGCGAAGTGTCATTACCCGTTTGAATGACGGCGTCGAGGCTGAATCCACTGGGAGTTGTCTTGTCTCTCAACTTAGCATACATCTCTTTAGTAAGTATTTTGGCCATGTGATTGTCATGCTTTTCCAAGTTTGGAAAATCCTCATCCGCTGGGTAGTTCTTCTGGAACTGATTGGCCATCTCTCCGTTGTCGCCTGATTCTCCTCTCTGCTCTTCGGACGGTCGGTTTTGTGAACTTCCTCTCTGGTCTTGAGACGCAGTTGGATCCTGTGAATTGTTGCGATCAGCTGACGCGTTTCGATTAGCCGACGAGTTTCGATTTCCTGAAGAGTTGCGACGTTTGCCTCCACTGCACGTTGGTTTGCACTTAGAGCAACACTTTTTCCCACCAGCTGTCGAGGCGTTAGCAGCCGAGTTCTGAAAGCCGGAAGGGTTACCTGATTGACCTGCTGAAGGGTTTCCGGACTGTGCCGCTGATGGGTTTCCCGACTGGAGTTTAGAAGGACTCCCGGATTGATTTGCTTGAGAGGGATTACCGGACTGGAATCGACTTCCTCCTTGAGACTGAGATCCGGCTCCTGATAGACCTCGAGATTGACTTCCTGGTTGTGATGCCGACGGGTTTCCGGACTGGAATTGACTTCCTCCTTTTGACTGGGATCCGGCTCCTGATAGACCTCGAGATTGACTTCCTGGTTGTGATGCCGACGGGTTTCCTGACTGAAATTGACTTCCTCCTTTTGACTGAGATCCGGCTCCTGATAGACCTCGCGACTGACTTCCGGGTTGTGCAGCCGATGGATTTCCTGACTGAAACTGACTTCCTCCTTTTGATTGAGATGCGGCTCCTGATAGACCTCGCGATTGACTTCCTGGCTGAGATGCTGAAGGGTTCCCGGTTTGGAACTGACTTCCTCCTTGAGATTGAGATCCGGCTCCTGATAGACCTCGCGATTGACTTCCTGGCTGAGATGCTGAAGGGTTCCCGGTTTGGAACTGACTTCCTCCTTGAGATTGAGATCCGGCTCCTGATAGACCTTGGGATTGACTTCCTGGCTGAGATGCCGAAGGGTTTCCTGATCTAGACCTAGACTGGCTTCCGGGTTGCGAAGCTGAGGGGATGCCGGAGGCTCTTTGCGATTGACTGCCGGCCTGAGACTGGGAAGCGTTTCCTGATAGACGTTGAGATTGGCTCCCTGGTTGCGAAAGGTCTCCTGATTTTCGTGTTGAACTTTCTTGAGAGTTCTTTCTAGATCGATTAGCAGACCTTGACACAAGAAAGGTTCGGCTAGAAAATTGATTCAAACAAAAGTTATGCTGGAATGAAGAGCGGTCTTTATGCTTATTTAAACAAATGTTACGTTTTTTGAGTAATTTTGTGCCAACACTTAAGTTCTTACAATTACAGCTGACACGGAGGATTCTTGAAAAGGAAACTACCAGAAAGTTCATTCAGTGTTCTGTTTCATTAAAATTAGAATTTAGATATCTTCCTGAACTGATATTTTCTTCTCAAAAATCTGAAACAATATTTAAGTTGACTTACATGAGTTGGACGGTAACACAAGCAACTTTTTGGCAGAAAGATTTCACAAAATATGACTCTTGAGAGAAAAATTGCGGGATTAGAGTAGAAAAGTGGGACGACTTCTGACTCCCTCGATGAATTTCGTCAATCTCCACTACCGCGCTTTTCTCATTATTCCTCAATTCGTTTTTTACTTTTTCTTCATTGTCAGTTAGGAGCGTTTTAGTTCTTTTCAATGAAACTTGGTACGATGAACAATTTAAAGATTTGGCACCATGAACAGATTTGGCCTTTATGCCTTATATCGTAACATGGCCTGGCTCTTTTCCAGTTCCCCCTTTGATTATTTTCTGAAATTCAATATATGAAAGTCTATTTAAAATGACTTTACATGTTATAAACTGCATCAAAACGTGTCAGCGTGAACAGTTGAACAAATTTTACATTTCTAACATGCAAAAAGCCACGTGAACAGTTGATGAACAGCTTTTTTTTGCAATTTTACGAGGAGGTTGGGAAACTGGAAAGAGCCCATTGCCTGTTTAGCTATAAGAGCACTGTGCAATTTTATTTGTTCTGTCAGTTTATTCATTGAAGGGCTATATTTTACAGAAAAGGTTATAAATGTAAATACCCCAATTTTATTGGCTCTTTTTCCTTTTTCCCCCACATCACATAAGCATCAATTTTATGGTGTAACGAGGGGTTTTATAAGGTTAGCCATGAGGATCAAATATGTTTGTCATGGCCTAAATAATTCGCATACCAATTTTTGTAACATTCGGATAATGCGAAAAAAATTTTACTGGTAAAATTTTGCAGGTGGGGGGGGGGGGGGGTGAAAGGAAAAAGAGCCAAATGTTGTACTCTAGGTTTGAAGTTTTTTATTACTTCTTTGATATAAATTCGGCGTGTTGTAAGAAAAAAGAAAAAAATTGGTTAATAGGCTAATCATACAACTTGAATAGCATTTTACTGACAACCCGTGTTGACCAAAATGTGCAACTATACGTCGCACCATGCATGGTTCCATGGAAGCCATGAAAAATTGCCGACGTATTTTTATGCTACAATAACACAATTTCCATGCATGAGCGACGTATGATTGCACATTTTTTTTATTATGGGGGAATTCAAATTAGACAATTTTGATAGTTTTACCAGGGCTGTTGAGAATTGATGTCACCATGGATGCTTGCAATGTATGGTTAATATGGTATCATGCATCGAGCGACGCATGGATACCATGGAAAATTTTATGACGCGACGTACGCATGGTTTACAAGGAACCATACATGGTAACTATCGTGGGCTTTCAATAACTGCTCTGAGCGACCCCAAAGATGTTGGTAGTAAAAATGATTTTTTCCCGCCATTCAGAGCAAAAAATTGGATCTCAAGCTATGCAAAATGTTATCCAATATAGAAAAAATTACCTCATAAAGCAGAAAAATTTACCTGATGTTGCCGGAAAACATACCTGGTGACCGTTGAAAAACTTTCATTTAACTGTCTAAAAAAAACAAAGAATTCAGATGTACGAAACATTATTAATTTATGTAACCACATTAACAGTATATTAAACAGAGAGGCAGCAGACCTTCTCATCACTTGCAAAACAAAAAAATGCAACATTTTAAGCGACAAATAATAAATTCAAAACGACCCCAAAAGTTTTTTGTATTTTTTTCAAGAGCAAAACGAATTTTCTACCGAAACGAGCATTTTCCGAAATTTTCTTTTGCCTGCAAATTTTAATTCTTTTGCGGCCATTTATTAATATATTCTGCGTGCATGTATTAAAAGCAGAATCTGAAATTTATTCTATCCAAAAATACGGCATACAAAAAAATCAAAAAACTAATTTTTTGTATCTTTTTCAAGAGCAAAACGATTTTTCTACCGAATGAAAAATTTTCTGAAATTTTTCCTGCTTGCAAAACTTAATTTTTTTGCGTGCATAGCGTAGTCCTGAATATACAAGTTGGATTGTTTTCCTGTTACTCTGGATAAATTTTCCCGAAAACGCTCAAAAACTAATTTCTTTTGTATTGCAAGTATTCCCTGTCCATTAATAAAATTTTCAATTTAAAAAAACTACCACTTTTTAAATCATTTACCAAAAATTAGAGGTTTGCTTCTTTCATTACATTGCTTGTGTAAGACATCTGAACTCAGATCTCTTCCTATGCATTGTACATGCAAAACATTAAATTTTTGGTGACTCAAGCTATGAGTATTAGGGGTCTTTGTCACTTAAATTGTGAGAAGAAAATAAATTATAAAAAACCTTTCATTGGCTGATGGAAAAATAGATCGATTCAATTTTGAAATAAATAACTTTTCTTTTTTCCACCTTAAGGGATTATAAACGTAAATACTCAATTTTTTTCATTAGGGTTATATTTTGTGAAAGTTACAAATAGATTAAATACTGCCAGAAAACGAGCCTCAGAAGATTCTTTAAAAGAACATTTTGCGGCTCGTTCTCTTCAAACTGCAGAAAACCGTGTCAACGTGAACAAATGAATAAATTTTCACATCAGTTCTTACATGGAAAATAACTTATGAGCTTAGGCTTTGAATTCTTATAAGAGTAAGCATTAAAATACCTTCAAAAACTCGAACCAAGGCAAAAAGTTGATGATTTAAAACTCTTTTGAAGGACTCCGGATTGACGAATGGTCATAATTTTAGAAATTTTTTATAACACTTCTGCAACATCTTAGAAAATATGGCTCTAAATTTATATAAGTTTTTTTTTTGATAAAAAATGTAAGATACGAAAACTTCTCTTGAAAAAGTGTAAGATGAAACGTTTCAATATTTTTTATTCGTGGTTAATTTTATTTAAAATTTCTGATAATTAAAGTCCATTTTCTGCTGAGTACAATACCTGAAGTACCGTAGGCAGAATCTAACCATTCGCCACATGAGTTGACACATTCAAGTTTATCTTGCGCGCTAAATTTTTTAAAATAATAATTTATTCCTAATTGGCTGTTGAGAACTTTTTTCAAAAATGTATACACCCCAAAGCTATATGAATGACCCCACATGATGACTATTTGTCTCCAAAAACTTTCAACTGCTGAATATATGTAACAATGAGAATTTTTGAATGAAACTACAAATTTAATGTGGAATCTTTGATTCAAAAGGCAAATATTAATAGCATAATCTAAAGTTTTTCATATCAAAATTAAAAAAGAAGTCATTTTCTCAAATTGATTTTATCCATAACTACGGTATACAAAAAAGCTCGAAAAATTATTTTTGATTTTTTATTTCTTTAGAACTATTTTAGAAAAAAATTATGAGATTTCTGGAAGAAAACTTTCTCTGACCTTCCTTAAAGCGATTGAAAGCATTTTGGTGCGATTCACTGACATCAAAATTATTCATTATCGATTAACAAACTATTTTTATATTTAAAAGTTGTTTTGTGGACTACTATGCACCAGATTATGACATCAATATTTATTGGTGCACAAAGGAGGCAACTGCAAAAAATATATATCACGGAGCAGTTTTTTAATTTACCAGCTTCTACGCAATATCAAAGTTTCCCTTTTTCCTTTTCGTTAAATCTTTTTTTTATAATTTAAAAGTTTAATTTTTTTTACACCTGGCATAGTTAATCGAAATCACGATTTAAGAATACGTGAAATTTTATTGCATTTTCAAAAAAAAACACGAGAAAGAAAATACTAAAATGTCAAACCGCTCGAGAGTTTTGTGCGTTCTGGTTATCGCGATGTTGTTAATCTTTTTAATTGCTCAAGACTTTTTGTCCGTTGTAAGTTCAATTTGGGAAACTAGTTCTGATATACGTTTTTTGTCTATCTCGAACGGTTTTTACGATAGCAGCGTTATATTATTCACCGCAACAGTCTTGAATTTTACCACTGATTCTTCGGTTGGCGTTTCATTTTTAGAAAACTGCGTGTGCAAAATTGACTTTCATTCAGCAAAAAACAGAAGTCTGAAAAATTGCACAATTTTTGAACACACTTTTATGTATCCAAGAAAAATTCACAATGGATCAATAATCAACTTTCCAATGAACATTTCAATTGCGGAATCCCCCCAAAATTTGTCTGCGGGGGAGTTTCTTAGAATGAAGTGCAACTCGGATGTTCGCCATGCTTACAGTATTTTAGTGCTCCCATAAAAATGGGATACGGCTTCAAGCTTGGCAACTGACAACCCACAGAAAGCAGTGTCCTCCTTCAAAAATGACTTAGCAACTAGACCAAAACCACGTTTCTCTGGTAAAAGAACCAAAACGAAAGCAAACAGCAAGGATATATATTTTTCCCAGTTCTCGCCAAAAATGAACGACCATAATTTTTTGAACGACTTCAATTTTTTGTCAATATAAACCGATGGATAAATATACAGCGCTGATTTATATTATCCGGACAAAACGAGCAAAACCTGACTTTTTAAACGCGTTTTTCTCAAATTGGATTGACTATCGAAAAAAAAGCTTAAGCAAAACTGCTTAAAAATTTACTAGAAATAGTATGATGCAATTTATTTTGGATTCTTTTAGTCAATCAAAAATTACGCTAAATCTAATAAAAGTTTTATAATCTCCTTACAAATGTCGGACTGAAAAAGAGGCTCACTTTGATATTTGACATCAATCAGCTTGCTCATCAATTGAAACATAAGATTCAGCGTAGTTTTTGTACACTAAAAAAAGCCAAAAAGACCCATTTTGAGGTAAATTT